AGAGTTGACAAAATAGTTCCAAGAAAAAAGATGTAAAAGCAAATCAACACCTAATCCTATTTAGCAACTTGTAACTTCTCAAATTGTTGTGATGTTGCACCAAACTTTCTCGACATTCCACAGGCCTTAATATCCAGTCTTGATAAGTGAATCCACAACTTGTCACTTTATTCTTTAACCATACAAAAGATTTAATCTAAATGGACTCTAACAACAAATCCTCATGCCACAAATTATTCTCAAACACCCTTATATTCCTCCAATACCAAAGAAACCAAGCAACAACTAAGAATATAAAAGCACCAAAATATTTCCCCCTTCCCCCACTTATACCTTGCATCACTACATCTGCTAATCCAAATATGTCCTTCGGTAAAACACTGTGCCAACCCCACCATTTCAAAACCTACATCCATACTCTTCATACCCCTTTACATTCACAAAAAATATGAGAAAGACACTCCACTCCTTCATTACAAAACTCACAGCCCACTGCCCCTTCCACCAAAACCCCTCTCAAATATAAATTCTCCTTAGTTGGAAACCTATTCAAAAATAACCTCCACCCAAATATACTCAATTTAGAGGGAACACACTCACACCAAATAACTCTCAACCACCTCTTATCCAGAATACAGTCCATAGGTGTTAAAAAAGCATAAACATCTTTCACAGAATAAGCACCATCACCCTTATGAACCCATCCCCAAAAATCAGCTTTGTCTTTCCTCACCTTGACGCCATTAATCAAGTCTCGAAAATGATCCTCCTCGCTACTCGCCCTCCCCATACATCTACAACACCATCTACAATCCCATACCCAATCATCCCTACTCCAAAAACCCATATTCTTGATCAACCCTTCCTTATCCATTGCTAACTCAAACAACCTAGGAAATAAGTTCCTCAACGAATTATCACCGACCCCCTTATCCCCCCAAAAATCCCCACCACTACCATTCCCAACTTCCCATTTAAAACCCTTCGCTAACATGACATTCAACCTATCAGACTCATACCCAATACTCACAATATCCTTCCACACCCTAGACATATTCAAATAATCAAAAGAAAGGATATTGGCCGTCGTCCGACCCCCATAATATTTCTCCCAAATCACTCTCTTCCACAATCTTTGTTTTCCATCCCCTAACCGAAACCACCATTTACCTAGCAATGCTCGATTCTTTCTCTCTAGATCAACCACACCCAAACCCCCTCGCTCTTTATCCATACAAATATTAACCCAACTAACCCAAGCAATTTTCCTCTCCAAACAAGCACCACCCCAAAAAAATTTTCTCTGGATTTTAATCATCTCAGCACACACATTTAGGAATTTTAAATAAAGAAAATAAAAAATAGGAAGAGTAGAAAGTACCAAGTTGATTAAGGTGATTCGACCTCTAAAGGCAACAAAGGGTTCTTCCAGGCGGCAAGCTTAATTCGAAAATGATCTAGCATCGATTCTGTCACGCCCCAGAACCCAAATCCGAGGTGCAACAGACGCCGTGCACTCGTGAGACGGGTCCCACAAACGCACAAGGCTCGGAACTTATTCAA